AACACATTTAAACTTGGACAGGGGACTAAAAATTGGTTGATTAATCGGTTAATGCCATTGATATTGGAACAAACAATGAACAGGTGTAGAAGTTAAGATAGACTGCACCTTCAAAGCAATGTCAGCAAGGACAGCAGAGCTGGTATCAGTGTCCGTCAACAGAACTACCAACAGATATGGTGTTTACAGGTTGGAGATACCATCTGTGGATGGAATAGAGTGTGCCGCAGAGAAAGCAATTGGCAATTCCTGCAGAGCTAGCCTTATTGGAACTTCATCTTCTTCCTGTAATGTACCTGGCTCTACAAGAACCACTACTGATGAGATTACCATCAAATCGAAACAAGCAAATATGTGCATCTACAGTCTCACTGCTTTGAATTTCAAACCTTCTAAGAGAAATGTTGCTCTTTGTGGGAATTAGAAGCCCCAACAACAGAGTTTCAACATATATGTCTTCTCCTTGTCTTTCACTTTCCAATTTCCCGTTTATAGGGAATAATATGTATAATTCATTTGTCTCCCTTATATTTCCATTAATCATGTGCCTCGTCCTCAATTTCTGGTAATCAAATTCTTGCATCACACTATGCATGTGAATACAAGGAAATGTATTAAACACAGGCATTAAGTATTGCTGTTGTTAGCTGGTTAATCAATCTGTTTTCTCTTTTATGTACAAGAAAGAGAAAGAAGGTTATCTTTGTGTTGTGTACCTCTTTGGACATGAGAATCTCATTTTATCTTTTAGTCGAATGACAACTCTCTAACCTGATATCAACAGCAGAGCACAGGTGCTAGCTGTCAGCAAGATAAATGTTTATCATTATGCACTATTATGACGAAACAAAACATGAAATTTTTTCTTTGCAGATGTAACAGGCGAAATAATACTGCAACTACATCAACTGCAAAAAGAGAACAAAGTTACAAGCTCAGACATGGCAGAAAGATTACTTTGTCTTAGCTACAAGAGACTTTCCAATTTATATTCCATCTAATATCATTACGTAATGTAACCAACAGGTCTTCAGCCATGCCATTACAAATTTAAGATTGACTTAATAAGTGTTCGAAACACAAATAGTGCCCTTCTCCACATGCTACAAGAAGGAATATAAAGCGAATATCTGGAAAGGAAGTTAACAATGACAGATCGACAAACAACAATTGTACCTCAACCTGCAACGCATTAGAGAATTAGTTCACAATCTCTTCTGCCCACACCAGATTACACGATGAGCTGCTTATGTTTCTGCTCACATTTAATGAACTTCACACAAAAGGGGTCAGCAGGGAATCAAAAGTGGCTCCAATTAGCAATCTTTTATTTCAATATCGTATTTCGTATTTCGTATTTCGTATTTTGTATTTCATATCCCTTATATTGCTGTTATTTATTATGCATTTTTATGGTACTAATATATCGGCTCCTATTACCTTTTTGAGCTGAGGGTCTCCTAGAAACAGTCTCTCTACCCTTCGGGGTAGGGGTAAGGTCTGCGTACATATTACCCTCCCCAGACCCCACTTGTGGGATAATACTGGGTCGTTGTTGTTGCTGTTGTAGTATTTCAATATCGACTGTACAAATTCAAGCCTTAAAGAATCCCCCGCTCAACTCAGATAAACTGCAGATGCAGTAAAAACATTCAAATATGACATTTTTTCCAGTTAATTCTAGAGAATTTTGGAGGTAAATACAGTATAAGAGCTTCTTCATTGAATGCCAGTCATTGCGACCTTGATACGTCAACCAATTTTCAGCGTGCCTTGATCTGTAAATTCCAAGCTTTTCTTTGGAAAGATAAAGCTTAAACAAGTGATGGACGTGTAAAAATCATGCCTGGCCACACTTGCTTAAGCAAGCAACTCCCTCTTCTAAATAATCTTGTCTATTGATCCAAAACTCAGGGGCATCCTGCAGAAATTATTCGATAATTCAATATTTCATTTCACATCATAATGTTTCTTTCAATTAAATGCTCTTCAATTACGGTGCATATTGACTCAGTGAAACTATTTTCTTTTTGACATTATGAGAAAAAAACAATAATGCTCAAAGAGAGACGAATGCCATTCTATAGATGATTTGAAAATGAAGGAGGATCCTGACTAGAATAGAAGGACAGCATGAACCGTTTACAGACATGAAATATACCAGCCACAATGATTTGTTTGGACTCAATAAGAAGATAACCTCGTTTACTTTTTGCCAAATGATATGCTCTTTCATCATCATTTCAGCAAAATATACAGTAAATATTTTCGCTGCCACATAAAAATTTCTTAACCTGCTGTGGTGAGTGGATTATTCAGTTGCATTCAGCCACCGGAGTATCTTTCATACACAGATGATTTCATCAATTGCACAAAATGTGTAATAAAAAAGAGATGGATTGGGGCCAAATGCAAAAAACGCATTTTACTTGCGGCTGAAGTTGATGATTGCCACGAATGTGTCACATCAAGATAGTACAATCCAACATTTTCGACCCCTAATTCAATTGAAGATGGAAGTGGGATACTCAAATCTTGAAAGTTATGGAAAAGAGTACAGATTGAAAAAGGTTGTATCCCAGGCAACCAACTTACTTTCTTTTCTAATTTTAATTTCCTCTCTGAAATTAAATACTCGTTTATATGCATTGTAGTGGAAGGAACAGAGATGGGGCTAGAGAGACAGAAGGAGATATCATATACCTTCATAATTCCTGCCAGAACCGCACCTCCAAGGTACACCATATGCTTTCTTCTTGGTGGATCTTCTATTCGTAAGCGCAATTTCTGTTGCAGAAAAGACATAAAACAAAAAATAAAGATAGAAAATTTCAACGAAAACCAAGCAACACATGAAGAGAGAATATGCTTGTAACCAATGTAATCGAAGTTCCTAGAATATGCTAAACCCTACTCGTCCTGCTCCAACTACTTTCATATCTCCATCTTTTGATTGACTTGAATTTATACCAGAAACCGTCATAAGCAGCAGGTCTCTATTTTTCTATATATATATTTTTTTTTTGCCTCTTTAGTTTGATGAAAGCTTTTCCCCTATGGCTTTTTCCAAGGGGAAAATGATTTCCATGCCTTCTGATCAGATATCAATGCAATTTTATTCAACACTAATTGGTTCCAAATAATCAAATTAGGTTTGTAGGTCAGACAATTCGAATAAAAGCTACTTTGTCGCATAAGCCTGATCCATAAGCTAAAAACCTCAAGAAATGGCAAAAATAATAAAAAAGAGGCAACTGTACCTTCAAACCATCTTTGTTCCCCTTCAAAACAACATCAAGATAGCGGTCCAAAATTTCTTTCTCAAGGCTGTCAGTGTTTGAAAGAAGAAAATACAAATACAAGTGTAATTAAATAAGAGAGAGAGAGAGAGAGTCTGGGTGGAGGTGCGGCAAGAAAGAGTTCATTCCTTTTATTCCCTCAGGAAACAGAGGGCTGTCATAATTGCAAAAGTAGAGTTTAAGGAAATAAATCACAAAGAGAGATAAAAATCTTTCTCAGTGACTGATATGAGGGGGNTTACATAGTTCAAAATCTCTGCCAGATTGATCTAACATTAGTCTCAGAGAAAATTCAAGGATATACTATGGTTCATAAATTTAAAGAAAGCATTCACACTAGTTAAAAGTTCCTAGAAATGTGTGACAATAATGTAGTATTTAGAATCAGTCATGCACAATTGCATTACTCGGCAGCTAAGTTCTCAAAGCTCTGTCATAAGGAAGAGTATTTGAGTAAGTTACCGACTAGGTAAGCCAGGATACATAGTACTTCCGCCACTCAAAACAATATGTTGGTAGAGCTGCAAAAAGTTTCAAAGTAATGATTATTATATTAACAATAAGATGGAATGCAAATAACAACACTACGGGCAAAGAATACAGCAAAATTCAAATTTGAAGTACCATCATCCTGTTATCAATATCCATCTCCTGGATGCAACGAAATACCATGTCTGCCATGCCATCACCTTCAACATCAATAAGATCCTAAAATGGATAATGAAAATAATATTTAGCTTCCTTCCACATACATCAACCCATCAATTAGAGTTCCGGAGAAGCATGGAATAACATTTTAAACCATGCAGTTACAATGTTGCTTCAGTTTGTCTTAAGGACTTCCTTAACACTTTATTTGAAACAAATCGATTTGAAGATGATAATCTATTTTTTGCTTTCCTGTTAGAAGGTTGAAAGGTCAAACTAGTTTAACAATAACAGAAGATCCATCAATTTAAAAAGTTGTCAAGACAAAAGATGGTCATTGATTAGGTAACAAGTGTCACATAGCATCTGGCATTATACAGGATTAGCTTTCTCTGGGGGAAAATGTGAACAGCATTTACTCTTCCCCACTATGGGGAACCAGCAAAGCCCGTGCATGTTTATGAAAGGTATATTCATGGATTTTGAAAGAGGAAAACAAATGGGAATGCATGCTTACTGGAGTAAAAAGAGCCTCAGGTGCCTGGAACCTCTCTGTGCCAACTTTAAGTACCCTCCCATCTGGAAGCTGTGAAAAAATATGGGTCACTGAATGACTAAGTTTCTTATGGAAACATGAAGATTTTTATATCCAAGAGCAAGGTACCATACCTGATTGAAGATTCAAGGTAGTAGAAAAATTAAAATAATAGTAAATTTATTTTTCCAATTAAGAGCTTATTATGGATGGAGCCTACTCACAGTATAATTCTTAACAAGAATAGTAGTCTCAAGCCCTAACTGATATTCTCTCTTGTAATCATAACTGCAGTACAGCAAATACCATTACTCCCCAGAAGAAGTTGTAAAGGAATTAAATTATGACAAAAGTTATTTTACCTAATGTAGCACAGCTTTTCTTTAATATCCCTGACGGTCTCAAAATCAGCACTCTTATTCATTGCATACCTTCAAAAATTGACTGGCCATCAGAACTCCAGTAATGGTGTAAACTAATCAAATATAGCATGAATTACCACAGCTTATTTCAAATGTGTTGGCAATTACCCTCTTCGAAGTAGCAAATCAACCAGATAAGAAGTTATATGGCGCCCCGCTACATTCATTCTTTTTGTGAGGTGAGGGAATGAGTATCCATCAACAACAGGAACCTGCATCAAAGAACTTTCTGATAACACACTGAAGAAAAAGTATCCCACTGTTCATGGCAAAATACAATTATGTGCTATCAAACGAAAAAATAGGTGAATTAAACGCTGTGTTTATGACCACATTGACCAGAAGCTGCAACGGGCAATCTTATTTAGTCAGGGAAACATAAATGGACTCCTCTGATGCAGAAAAACAGCTCTATATTGGGCAAAATCAATACGGAACCAAGACTATCGGAGATCGTAAAGCAGCTATGATAATGGAAAAACTTACAACATGCGTAACTCCATCACCAGAGTCTATGACTAGCCCAGTCAACAAACCTGCATATATTTTAGAACAGCAATGATGAGAAAATCCATCACATATAACCAAAATAAAAGCAAAATATCTAATTAAACCCATTCTTGTAACAAAAATAAGTATTTACCCGACAAAAATTGCAATATCTGGACTCATGGTGGTCCTTCTCACAATAACAAAAAACATGATTTATGCCCAAGAACTCATATATAAAACTTTTCGCCTAATGTATAATGGTACCTTGAGCATACAGTGTTAGAACAGCTTGAATTTGGATGAAGACCCCGGCAAAGTTGTACTTCTCAAACATAGTTTCTACCTATAATTCAAGTATATTCTGAGTATTATTTAGAAATCTTTGAGGCAATACAAAAAGGGAATGTATTCTGTAGCATGAATACAAACCATCTTTTCACGATTTTTCGAAGGATTGAGAGGTGGATCTGTCAGCAGAATTTTGCATTCTGTCGGATCTACCTTCAACAGCAGAATGAAATGAAAGCTTTTTCAGTTAATCATGAACTAGCCATATGCCAAGTATTGTACAAAAAAATTAGCAGGCAAAAGTTAAACTGATAAAAGATCTTCACAGGGAAAGCTAACAGTAGAGAAAGCTACCTTCAGTTCGTTGAAAAATGCATGATCCCACACATGCCCCATATCATCCCAGTTTTGCACAATTCCATTGTTGACAGGATAAGATATATCCAACTGATGCCGCAACTTCAAGCAATCATCTCCCACAATAGTATCCTAGAGAAAGAGTGTAAAAGAGTTATGTATTTGTCAAGAAGTCTGTGAGTTGAGTTACAGAGCTCAATAGTGAAAATGCAGAGCATGTAAGAGAAGGATATAAGAAAGAAAAAATAAGACGAGAAGATTTCCAGTGTCCTGGTTGCAAGACAGACGAATAAATAAAGAATCCAGGAATATAAAATATAGGCATTACTCTAACAATCCCTGAGGTGTTCTGGGAACCAAAATAAGAGTAAACCTTCATTTCACAAGAAGTAGTAATATGGAACTATTGAAGCCTAGATTTTCTTTCTCCAAGAAGAACTTCCTAGTTGTCTATAAATGCAAGCGAACTCTTTCACATTATCCATTTTAGGGTAAGGATAAAGAGAGAGACGTTTACCTTCAAGTCTTGTTCCATAAGTGATTCTTCGTACCTTAGCATTGGCCTCCCCACAACACAAGGGAATACAGATGTGGGAAAATTCTCACCCGCAAAGCCACACTTGACATACTGCATTTAGACATCAAAATAGTTATAATAAATGTATTCGATCCCCAAGCACCACCACCAGCCCCAAAGAAAATGCTTAAAAAAAGGGCAAAGCCAACAGCTAGAAACATCTTATGCTTCAGCAAAAGCTCGGTATAAACTCTCTTTCATTTCATAAATCAGAAAAGCAGGTTCCACTAGGAAAGGATGCTTGATTAGGTAGGATGATGGTTTCCATAAACCACACATTTAAGTCAAAGCTTGCATCTTGTGAAGGAAATGATTGACAGAGATTTGGTTTTCAAGAATGAATTGTTCCAAAAAAGAAATAAAACCAAAAGTAGCTTCACAAGCAGAAAATAATTTCGTTGAGATCACCACATAAGTCCAAGTTCAATGAAGTAATGCATTTGATCATGCCAGACATAAACCAAAGTTTCTTTCTCATTTTCTGATAAATCAAAAACATACTCTGTTGTGTTGGGATGAAATGCATCTCAATATAGAGGACTCATGTAGCACATTGTAGCACAACCAACTAGTATGGGGTTGAAATGTAGTTGATTAAACTGAATTTACAAGAAAATCAAAGAAACTTTTATTGATATCACACATCCATAGTTTAACCTTCACAACATAAGAAAATTAACTTTAGCTAACGGATGATGGTTTAAGCATCTCAGGCACAGATGACCGAGACATTTCAGTTACTGTACGCGTCCTTAGCTGCTTTTTTCAGAAGTATATACGCACACGTACAGAGTCACCAAATTTATTCTCATTTTCCCTAATCTATTAAGTAAATATTGCAAAATTTCATCTATTAAAGCCTTGGATAAAAATTCAGTTTCCTTTGACAAATACGCGATCTTCAGATGAATTAGAACTCTACTATACCAAATAAAAAGGCAATGTGAAAGAGTAAAGACAATACCCCGGTGCCGTTGTCGCAAACGACGACGTTCCTACTGTCCATCTTGTAGCTATTCAGTTGGATCAATCATGGACTCGATTTTCCTTTAAGTTTTTTGTGCTTGCTCTAACAGCAAAGATCAAAGCTTTTAGTTGGTAATGGTCATGGACTTGCTCCGGCTACCGGAAGTTAAAAAAATATTTTTCGTTTGAGTCCTCCAATTTGGTAATTTTGTACTTTTTACCTCTTTGGTGAACTTTCCTGCATAATCAATCCCTTCAATTATGTTTATTATAAATTTGTCTAATTATCCGCTAAATTTTTTATTTTATTTTCATAACAAACATAAAATTGATTTTTTAGAATATTAATGACAAATTAGTTAAATTTATAAAAATTTAATGTTTCAAGGATATTTATGTTTTTATCAATTCAGTATTTCACATATCTTTTCCATAAAAATATTTATTAAAAAATCCTTAAACTCTTCATGTGCAAGTCTGCTCATATCCACAGTCTCAAGCTAAGATAAAAAAATAAAAATAAAAATTGTGGTAGGCTAGTAAATAATGTAAAATTAGTCAATGTATGACGATTTATCACAATACAACTATGTTATTGTGTTGCCAAACACACCATAGTGTTGTAACAAACAAAAGTGTATTTCAAAAAGATTAAAAGTGGTAGAACATAAAAATAACACATTAAAGCGTTACCATAGATATTTTGAAAGATTTATAACAGCTTGTTTGGATGGTTGTTACTCATTGTATCATATTGTATTGTTATCTCAAAACAATGTTTGTTTTGATTGTTTAGTTAAAATTGGTTATATTTTATTGTTAAATTCATTGTTCCAGAACAATAAAAAATCTCATTTCTTTTTAAACAACCGATTTGGTGCGGTGGAATTGTTTCGTATTTTTCTTTCCAATTATGCCCTAACTTATTACTTTAGAGTTATATTTTACCCTTTACCTTTTTTTTAAACTCCAAATCTCCAACCTTTAACCTACTTTGTCTTCGGCCCTTTTTTCCTTTTGCTGCTTACTATTCTCAACTCCAATGTCAAAGGTAGTAAGAATAGGTTTTATCTTCTTTTTGTTTTGTTTTTCTTCTACTTAGATTTTACGGAAAAGGGCCTAAAATGTCCCTCTATTATATGAAATAGGACATCAAAGCCCTCCGTTAAAGTTGGCCCATTATCTGCCCTTGCCGTCTAAAAATGGGCTCAAAAATATCATTCTCCACTGACAGGAGACTCTAAAATCCACGTGGAATTACATTTGCCTATTTAAAATTTTCAATCCTAATTTAAAATGCCGCATGTATTTAAAAATACTCCAACCCCTTATTATTTCCCTACCCCGGGCCCACCCCCAATCTTTACTTAATATAGCTGTTAGGTTAATTCCAATTACCAGACCATTTCATTTCCCATTTTCATCCCAAAAGCTTCTCCCTCAAAAAATTGACCTTCATTGATGTCTGATTTCTCCTACTAATTGGGTCACCTTGTCGATTTCGAGTTGGGTTCTAGTTTAGGTTTAATTCTTTTTCATCTTTATCAGTTTGTTTTGGAGATTTCTCTAAGACAATGTCGCAAAGTTCGAGTAGCTTAAATGGGTCGATTAGACGGTGTCGTTGTGGACTTGCTGCTAATTATTTCATGGCGTGGACTCCTTTAAATGCTGGGAGAAGATTTTTCAAGTGCCCTAAGCATGAGGTAAGTAAATTTGTTGATGGGTTCTTTTAATAATTTCGATTTGACTGTAATTTCTTTTTCTTTTTTTTGGTTTTAGGATAAAAAATGTTCCTATTGGGAATGGTAAGATGAGGAGCTTCCTCCTAGAATTTCAAATCTCATATGCAGTTTAAAGAAGGAAAAGGAAGCTCTAATCCGTGAAAGAAATGTACTTCAAAGGAAAGTTGTCGATCTTGAGAATGTTATGATGCTCGTTGATCATGGAGGAATAGAATCCTTGGAATTGGAAAGAAATGTTCTAATGAAGAAAGTGGTTGATTTAGAGTACTCAGCTGTGCGTGATGCTAAATTTCGGAAGAAGATGTGAATTTTCTTTTATATGATATTGGGATATTTTGTTATGTTCTTTGGATTAGGGGGAAATGATATATAATGTTAGTGTTATTGTGGCTTAATTGTTGTGTTTTATTATGTAATGGAATTTTATGTTTTTGTGCAAGGATTCAATGAAGTCATTCCCATTCATTTGAATGTTTATGTCTATGATTGAGTTACTTGCTGTGATAATTAGTTTGTTGGTCTCAAATAGGTGTGTGAGTAAACTGATATGGTGTGAAGTGTTTGAGAATTGACTACTATAACTGACTCGTATATGACCCTGTACAATCCGAAAAGGGTCTAAAATGCCCTCACATATACCTGTTGGACCAGATTCAAACAAGATTTACAGAAGAAAGAGGCGATAAACCAAGCATAAATAGTCATCAACTAGTCATTCAAGGGATAATACAAATCAACAGAGTTAACTAGTCATTCAACAAACATCAACATAAATGTCATTAACAAGTAGGTGGTTAACCAACCACAAGAACCATAATTGTGGTTGGTAGCAAAAAAAGTTGTCTATCAACAAAACATAAGTTTAGAACCACCTATATCTAATGCCATCACATTCAAAACAATTTAGAAATCTGCAGATTTAGTCTTCACATGGGTTCTTTCCTTTTCTTCCCATCATCTTAATATTCTTTCTCCTTTGTTGTTCAAGCTGGTTAGAAGTGATTGTTGCCTTCCCCTTCCAGGTTGTCTTGGTTGGGGAATATGGCAAGTTTGTTGGTGTGCAAACTCCATTATCATCACCCATGAAAGGAATCCTCCTATTTTCAGTTGGTGGCAACCTTTGAGACTTCCTCACCTTCAACTTTGTTAGTTTCTCAGAAAGAATCTTTGGCCTTAATGGTGGATCTTCTTCATCACCAATGGAAGGACCATATGCAGTGGACTGTTGTGTCCCATAACAAGTGGATTGTTGTGTTGCATCTTCATTGTTGATCATTGATTGTATTGTCTGTTGTGTTCCAGCATCAACAACTTCTTCTTCAAGTATTTCATCTTCAAATGTATCATCTCCAAACACTTCATCTTCATATACTTCATCTTGAAGCACTTCATCTTCAAGAACTGAACACTGTGATGATATGCTTTTGTTTGAAACCTTTCTCTTTTTGGTTTTGGAGATTTCTCCAGGAACCTTATCCTGCAAAACAGGAAATTAGTTACTTAATTGTAATAAGTAAAACTTTAAGAAGAAATGAATCTATATTACCTTTGGACAACCCCTACAATTGTGGTTAATTTCACCACAGTTGTTGCACTCCATGACTCTTCTTTTTCTTGATAAACTCCACAAATCTTTTCTATTGCTTGCCTCATCAGGTTCTCTATTTCTTTTCACCTTAGGTCGACCAACTGTTTTGACAATCTCTGGGGGCTCCTTAGCTTGAGCAAAACTTTCCAGAATTTAAGACCCCTAACAAGTTGTAGCTTATGCTTATATGTCAGCATATTATGCCACCAATTAACACCAGTTAAAGAGTCATCTTTATTGTGATTCATTGCCTTGATTGCATGAGGGCAAGGTATGCCACTCAAGTCCCACAGTCTGCATGTGCATCTTTTTGTCTTCAAATCCACAGTATGCATATCATCTCCTTCTGATATCTCATATCCATGGTCCTCATTGAATACAACTTTGCACACATTAGCAATAATCCTGTAGTCATTGTACAACTTCATAGCAATTGGACTTATATCAGAAGTCCAACTCATAACCTTTTTCTCATTGTCTGCCAACATGTTCATGACTTTCACCCTTATATCCTCCAACATTTTAATAATTGGTTTGTGCCTAGCTTCAAGGATCCAACTATTAAATGATTCAGTAAAATTGTTATCAACCATTTCATTCTTACACTTTGTATCAAAATAGGCCCTACACTATGCATGTGGTGGATATTTGAGTATATCTTTTGTTGCTTCTTCATCCAATTCCCCTAGCTTCTTTAGTTGGTCTTTGAACTCTTCCTTATAAGTACTCCAGGCACACCACCATAATAGTTTCTTCATTTCACCACTCCTCCACTTCTTCATCCAATTCCCCTAGCTTCTTTAGTTGGTCTTTGAACTCTTCCTTATAAGTACTCCAGGCACACCACCATAATAGTTTCTTCATTTCACCACTCCTCCACTTCTTCATCCAATTCCCCTAGCTTCTTTAGTTGGTCTTTGAACTCTTCCTTATAAGTACTCCAGGCACACCACCATAATAGTTTCTTCATTTCACCACTCCTCCACTTCTTCATCCAATTAGCTTCAATATATCTCACACAAAATCTGTGATGTGCATCTGGGAGTATTGTGCGTACAACGTCCAAGAGCCCCTACAGTTTTCACAAGATCAGAAGTCTTTTATTGTAGACTAGTTCAGGTGAAATGCCCCAATTGCCACCATAATGGAATAAAACATCAACTTCTTCAATCATCTTCAATTAGCACATGCAACAAAAAGAAAAGGGCAAACACAAAGGGATCACATCAGCATTGAAAGCAACAGTTCAAAAATAGAGTTAAACCATAAAAAAGAATTAAAAACACCAACCACACAAACATATTCATTCTGAGATTGAATTAAAAACCCTTAAAAAAGATTCATTTAGTTCGGGACCACCAACCCCACACAAACAGATTTATACTATAATAAACAAACATATAAAGACACAAAACATGTGAATAAACTAATGAGATGGTCACAATACCAAGAAATGTCACATGCATCTCTATTCCCTTTTTCTAATTACAAACCTCTACGGCTCTACCCCACGGTTTAAATGCAAATAAACCAGTAAAAAACTTACATTGACAACAAAACGACAGCTTCAACACCAAATCTTCAAGCTTCGATCGGAGATGAACACTGCTCCAGAACCCTAGCTCATCGTTCAATTTGGGGATTTAGTAGAAAGAGAAATGTAAAATGGTTAAATGGTGAAAAGAACGAGGGGTTAACTTATCAATAGTGGGTTAGGTAAAGATTAGGGGTGCGCCCCAGGGTAGGAGTAGGGAAATAATAAGGGGTTGGGGTATTTTTAAATCCATGTGGCATTTTAAATTAGGATTGAAATTTTTAAATAGGCAAATGTAATTCCACGTGGATTTTAGTCTCCCGTTAG